GCTACTGGCGGCCCAGGTTCGGATCCTGGGAGCGCACTGACGCACAGCTTGTCTGACCATGCTGAGGCGGCAGCCCACATACAGCAACTAGAAGGATGTGCAACTATGACATACAACTATCCACTGGGGCTTTGGAGAGGAAAAGGGAAAAAAAAAAGGAGGAGGATTGGCAATAGATGTTAGCTCAGGCCTGGTCTTCCTCAGCAAAAAGAGGAGGATTGGCATGGATGTTAGCTCAGGGGTGATCTTCCTCACAAAAAAAAAAAAAAAGAAAACAAAGTTTTAAAAAAGGGAATTAAGCTTTCTATTTAACAGTGCTTCTGACAAGTGGAAATAATGTACATAGGGCAGACTTTCTGACCAGTATACATATATTTAGCTAGAGCATGTCAGGCCATCTTAGAAAATGATCTTTGCTGTGATTTGTATTTGATTTTATTAGTGGGAATAAGCATGGGCAATGAATTCATAAACATCACAATGCATTTACATGTGTCCTAAAAACCAGTGTCTCCAGTAGATGTGCAGGGATTTGCTAAGTATTTCTGTGAAAAGAACTCGGCTCTCCCCAGGAGGACACCCACATCTGTGGATGGGATTACTCCTTAAAATTAAGAGAGGGTTAGAGCAAACATTATGCTAAGTGAAAGAAGTCACTCACAAAGGATCACATATTGTAGGATTCCATTTATAGCAAATGTCCAGAACAGGCAAATCCATAGAGACTGAAAGTAGATTAGTGGCTACCAGCAGCTGGGGGGAGAGGAGAATGGGGAGTGACTGGTAATGGATATAGGGTTTCTCTTTGGGGTGATGAAAATGTTCTGAGATTATATAGTGGTGATGGCTGTACTACTTTGCGAGTACAATAAAAAAAAAAAATCACTGAATTGTAGACTTTAAAGGGGTGGATTTTATGGATATGTGAATTATGTCTCGATAAAGCTGTTACCAAAAAAATAGTCCCAAAACAAAAAACGGACCGCTTCTAACCGAAAGGAGCGTATGGTTGACTGGGCTGCAAAGCCAGGCAGCCCCAGGTCGGGGCAAAGTCCCCCGCTCCCAGTGGGGCTCCTAACTCGCTGTGGGTCTCCGGGTGCACGCTCCCTTTCCCGGATTCAGTTTCCTCGCGCGTCGACGAGGTTGGCCGATGACCCCGAGGCACCCCAGCTGTGACCCGGAGTGGTCAGTCCGGGACCCCTGACCCCGCACGCCCGGAGTCCGTCCGCGCTCCCACATGCCCCGTTACCTGTAGGGACCAATGGGCCCTGGGGCTTTCACGGTGTTGATCACCCTTCTAATCAAGGACGACATGACTAGTCCTTTTCTCTTAAGGTCCTTCCGAGAAAACAACTCCGTCCACCACCACCACTCGCGCTCGAGACTAACCAGCCCAGGACAGACTCTCCGCAGTAAACGCGTCTCACCGGCGGCTTCACTCGGCATTCTGGGAGTTGTAGTTCCCGCGAGACTCCAGGCCACGTGGAGGCAGCGGCTGGACTGGCGCATGCGCGTTCCAGCTCGCTCGCTGCGCAAGTCGCTTTGCAGGAGGCTGTCGCAGAGCTTGTCGTTCTGAGCCTGGGAGCCCTGGCTTCGTCCCCCAGAGCTCCTGTCAGGTAGGTTATGATGGGCTGGTGTCCCCCAGGGTCCTCGAGTTTGAGGGGAATGTGTGTGGCGGCCCCCAGCCCGGCGCCCGCTCTCTGGCCCGCCTCCCCTCCCCACATTCTCTCCCTCAGACCCACTGACCGCCTCTTCCCTTGCTGCCTACGCCTGGGCCCCTCTTCCTGGCCCCGTACCTCCTTCGGCCCTGCGCTCGAGCCCGCTGCGTCTGTCATTTCCCCGCATTGTCCGGCCGGGCGGAGGCCACCCTGGGAATGGACTTGCACCCTTCTCCTGCCACCCTAAAGGAATAAGACGGGTCATTCAGGGGACCACGCTGAGATCTGGGCATTGTCCACTTTCCCGCCCCTCCCATGTTCCTGTGTCTTGAGTGCTCCACGAGCTTTACAAGGTCTCTTCGCGTTCCCTTTCGATCTCAGCAGAGCCCTGGTGACTGGGGTCTGATTTCAAAAAAGGAAGATACTGATCTTGGTCCAGCACATGGCCCCAGAGCTGGTCTCTTCACAGATATTCAGTCATGCTGTGTCAGAAGAGGTGGTACTTGGCTAAATATTTCTTATTCTGTTAATGTATGCGTAATAGGCACGCCTCACTCCTTCCTTTATGCGTGCACGTGTGCGTTTAACAAATGTATATTGAGCTTCTACTTTGTGCAAGGCGCTCTGCTAGGTACTAGAGATGCAACAGTGAAAAAGCCAGGTAAGATCCCTGTTCTCCCCTGCTGCTAAAACATAATATAAGAATATCCTTTTTAGTCCCCCTCATTTTGTCCTAGTACTACTAAGGTTTTGGCTTTCTTACTTCCGGCTCAAGAGTCTTGAGAGCTTTTTCATTGGTTTAGGGCTTTCTGCATGAAATAAAAGACCTTCCAGTCTGACCTCCCTTTGCCAAATACTCAGTTTTATCCTCTTGTCCTCCCTTCCCACTCTAGTTGTCCAGAGTCCTCACTCCCGAATTCACACAGTAGATTCCTGAATACTCTTTCTTCCCTATCCAAATTCCAACTAACTGAAATCCTATTTTCTTGTTGACTTTTTCTGCAGATTCACACTTTTTCTTTCCTTTATTCAGTTTCCTATTGTGCTATACTGCAAAATTTAGTGTTTTATTATATGTGATCTTATTCTATAATTGTTTTGTGTTTTAAAAATAGTGAGTAGAGCCAAACTGCCTGGTTTGAATCCCAGCACAATCACAAGTGGCCTTGGGCAGGTCATGCTGCCTCTTTCTGCTTCAGTTCTTCATTTATAAAATGAGGATAGTTCTAGTACCTCCCTCACAGAGTTGTGAGAACTAAATGAGGAAGGCATGTAGAATAGTGCCTGGCACATAAAGTTCTCAATAAATGCTAGCTGCCTAACATGACCAAATTCTTTAAGGAAGGAGGCCACATTCCTATATTAATTTGGTATACACACAGTCCAAAACTATTATGCACATAGTAGGTACCCAAAAGCTTGTTAAATTTGATTAAATGGGAATTAGGAGACGCTTTTTATTTACGAAATAATTCGCCATATGATTCTTTAAATTAGGAGCTCTCTTGGAGCATTATAGATAATTCAGCTTGTGTAAAATATTTCTTGTGAAACAAGTTACCTGTATTTTTTTTTTTTTTTT